GGGGGTGTGGGCAGCATGTTCCAGGGAGCTGGGTGCACTCTGGGCCACTCGGAATAGCAGGTGGGCGCTGATGGGTGTCGGAGGAGAGCTCAGGCTTCCCTGCGCTTGGAGAAGCAAGTCTGAGGATCTGCGCGCACAAAATCATTTTTGTAACGGCAATTGCTGTCCCTGGGAAGGCATTAAAGTTAATGAGAGATAGGAAAGAGTGGGGCTCTGACCCCCGTTTAGAGCCATTTAAGAGTATGCAGCTCTTGTTTTCTGAATGTCTGGCCTTCCCGACACAAGGAGGCTCTGAGGACAGGTTTTCCAGCCGAAATATCATTAAATTGTATTAGCATCTTATTACACACACGCCTTAGTGGTCTGCCTCAGACAGGGAGAGTTTTTGTTTCTCTTTGAAAGATTGTGTCTGGAATGGTAAATTGCCTGCTTGCAAGCCTCCCCCACTCCCCTTTCTTAAGGAGGAAGACGAAATCCTGCTGTGTGTGGTGGCTGTCAGGGCAGGCCTGGTGGCCCCCAGAGAGGAGAGGCTAGAGGCCAGGTTGGGGTGTTTTAACTGCCCAGGGAGCGGCTGCAGTAGCAGGCCTGAAAGGCCCACTGTTCCCGGGTCAGCTGGAAGGGCGTTAATGGAAGCCCAGGGTGTTTATTTGAGTTTATTTGCAGAGAAATCTTTAAAGGGGGCTGGCACTGGGCATTGACGTTTCAAGTCCAGACCCGAGGCCCCCACTAAGGCCAGTGACTAGTGCTGCCAAGAAAACATCTGCCACCAAATTGCTGCCCTATTACTAAGTTGACATTGATCATTAGCCAGGAGCCCAACCAAATAAAGCGTCCTGGAAAATGTGTGAGGTTAAGATGGGGAAGAGGGCTGTGAAAACAGGACGGATCTCTGGGCTGGGGTGTTTGTTCCTGCAAGCTACAGGCAGGCCAGCTGGGCCGTATGGTCCCCACACTTCTAGAAGGAGTGGACAAGCATACACTCAGCACTCTGCACGTATCGGGTCCCTATTCTGTGCCGAATGCTATGCAAGGAGGGCATTGGGGCCCAGCAGCGGTCCATCAGGCTTACTTTCATGGAACATATATTCTGGAGGAGAAGGATGCTGGACAAGTAGATTGGCAGACACACATTATGATGAATGCCCTGAAGACACCGAATAACAGGATGGGAAGCTTTCTTTAGATAAGGCACCCCCCGCACATGTGACATTTAAGCTGAAACTTGAAAAAGGAAAAGTCAGACATGCATAGGCTGCACAGACCATTACAAGGCAGAGGGTGCAGGCTGCGTACAGGTCTCAAAGCATGGGCTGCCAGGCTTGCTTCAGGAAATGGAAGGAGGCAGGTGTAGCTGGAGAAGGGCTGGGGGTCAATACCAACTTGTTGAGTTAGGCCCATCATGTGGGGTCTTGTGGCTAGGAGCTTGATTTTTTTCCTTTGATCAGTAGGAAGCCTTTGAAAGGTTTTATGTAGGGACATTTAAAGTGTATACATTATAATTTATTTTATTTTTAAATATGTTTTTATTGATTTTAGGGGAATGTGGAGAGAGAGAGAGAGAGAGAAACTTCGATCAGGTTGCCTGCTGTATGCACCCTAACTAGTAATCAAACCAGCAACGTGGGCATATGCCCTGACTGGCAATGCAACGGGCAACCTTTCGGAACACAGGATGATACCCACCAACCAACTGAGCCACACTGCCAGGGCCCGACTTATACTTTTTAAAGATCATTCTGGCTACTGTATGGATCCTGGATTGTGAGGGAGCAATAGTCCAGGCAAGAGAGGAAGTGGCTAGGAGGTAGCAGTGGAAATGGGGGGAAGGTGCGGGACTCATGGTTGTGCCCGAGGGAGAGCCCACTTGCCGAGGCCTTGAGCTGCTGATTCCCTGAGGCGACCCTATGACACCCACACTCCCCAAGAGCTTCCTGTCTGTGTCTCTGTGCTGGGGTGGTGTGGGAGGTGCAAATGGGAGTGAAAGTGACCCTTCCATTCCTAGTCTCCTTTGTAGGTGGGGTTTCTGTCTCCAGAATAAAGTGCCTGTGACACCGAGGTATTCTCCCAGAGCAGACCTTGCTTTGGGAGACATTGGCGGGGGCAGTGGAGAGGGAAAACCCAGAGGCCGAGATCAAATCTCAGCTCCCCCAGCCCCACTTCTGTTTGCAGTCTTAGCCTTCGACTTGGTGAAGGAGTCTTCCCTGTACCCCTTGCTGGGGTGGAGAGTGGGGTTCCAGGGGGCAAAGGGCTGCCCCACAGCCCAGCCAGGGCCTCACTGCGGCTTCATCAGCCACGGACAGGGGAGGCTCACCTGAGGCAGGCAGGCCTTGGCAACAGGCATGGTTCAAAGGAAGGCAGCTTCTCTTACAAGCGGTGACTGTCCTCTGAAGCCTAGTTATTATTTCAATTAAACCACCAGAAAACCTGCACCCGTAATAACACCCCGCCCAGGAGGACTCGGGCTGCTCCACAGAGGGCAGGTTTGGCAGGGACCTGGGTGAGGGTGGAGTGCCGGGCTGCATACTGGCAGGTTCCTAGAAGGGTGTCGCTATTAGGTCCTGTCATAGAGGACCTTCCTTACTGTTCAGGGTCACCACTCCCTCTGGGGACCCCTCAGGTGGGTACTGGCGGGAGGTCTCTCACCTGGCCCAAGGCTGCATGGGATTAACTAACATCTATGTGGAGAGCCAACCGCCGTGCCAAGAGCTTTACGCTGCTCTCACTGCTTCTCACCAGCTGGTTCTGGCCCACAGAGGTGTTTAGTTTGGCCTCCCGAATGTGTTTTTAAAATCCTGAATCAGCTGCCAACACTTTCAGTTCGGGAGATTTATGTAAAAACGCAGACCCTGTTGTCTTTCCCCTGGCCCCTGGTCTAGTGGGGGCTGTGGCTTTTATGCTATGGGAGAGCCTGGCTTGGGAGTGACCTCTCTGTTAGAAATGAAGAGAAATGCAATTCCCGGACAGCCCATTGCAGGGGGAAACAGGTGGAAGCAATTCCAGCACCTCTCTTTGGCTTCTCCCCGCCTGTGATAGGGCTGGGTGAGCAAGATGTAGGTTAGAGGGCTTCGTTTAAAGCAGTCGGGTCGCCTAAGACCATCAGAAAACACAGATATTTACATTACAATTCAAAATTACAGTTATGAAGTAGCAACGAAAATAATGTTATGGTTGGGGGTCACCACAACACGAGGAACTGTATTAAAGGGTCGCGGCATTAGGAAGGTTGAGAACCACTGGTTTAGAGCCACCCCTCAGATCCCAGAGGACAGGGAGGACGGGTGGCTGTAGGTGGTGGAGCATTATTGCCTGCTTGCACTAGGCTGCACAGAGGCAGGGGCGTTAATGGTCAACTGCATGGTCTCCTGAATCAGACAGACTTCTTAAAGCACTGCAATCCAGGGCAAATCACTTAACCTCTTGGCTGTGTCTTCTTCCTCTGCAAAAGGGAAGCAGCCTTCTTGCCCACCTGTACCAAAGGTCTGTTCTGGGGCTTAGTAAGGGCCCTGTGTCCCATGGTGTCCCCCTCCCCTGCTGCACTGAGTTGTTCCCACCTTCCTGTCATCCATGCACCTCACACCCGGCAGACATCCCTCCATCCCTCCACACCGTCTGCAGGCCACTTGTCCACACCTCCAGAGCTGGGCAATAAGCAGCCCCAATGAACCCTCCTGTCATCCTAATCCTGCCTTAGGGGGACGTGGGGGCAGAGAGATGGGGGCAGAGAGAAGCCCCTGGTTCTGATCAAGCTCCAGGCAGGCGGGTCCTCCTGGTCAGCTCAGAGGTCTGGGTAATCTCCCCTGCCTAATGCTCCCTGGTCTCCGCGGGGCCACGGGAGGAGAAGGGGGACCCCAGGCCTGGCAAGGGCAGATTTGGGGTGGTGGCAGATAGCAGATAGGATCACAGGCGCGGTCGGGAGCCTGGCTGGCCCGCAGCTGGGCTGGGCCGTGGGGCTCTTCCCTGCTGACACTGGCTCCTTGCTGTTTGCTGTGGGCAGTGAGGCAGCCCAGGGTCCAGACTCCCAGGAACAGGAACACGGTGGAGAGTGCTCTGGGCCCCGAGCCCCAGATCTGTCCTCACATTAGCACTCAGCCACTAACTAGCTGAGACCCAGAGCAGGTTAACAAGCCACCGGGTGTGCTCCCCTCCGAGGGGACAGGAGCGGGCGCTGCCACCCAGGACGCTGGAGGATTAGAGGAAATGGTGGGTGGGAGAGCACTTCCCACAGGCAGGCGCTGAGGAGGGCACAAAGGCCGCTCAGTGTGGGCTCAGGGATCAGCCCACAGGCATTCAAATCCCCGTTCAGACAGTTACTCGCAGGACAAGGCACTGAGCCTCCCCAGTAAATGATGCAAATGGCTCGCAGCTCACCGGTTGTTAGGAAGTGGAGGTCGCTGAGACAGTGTGGGCAGAGGGATGAGCGCAGCAAGGGAGAGCTGCTCTTCCTACCTTGAAGTTAGGTACTGTAGTCAGGATAAAGCTGGTTTGTACTTTTATCTGGAGAGCCACGGTGGGGGAGGGAGGGTCCAGCCCAGGACCAGCCACCCAAGGCCTGGTGTGTGTCAGAGACCCAGCTTGGAGCCTCCCTGTACTCACCCCCATTTCCACACTCCTGTCCGCACCCCCTCAGGATGTGTCCTCAGTGCAGGCAGGGCTGGCTTGTCCTTAAACTCGGATAGGATGGGCTTACTGTCTTCCCCTCTCCGCACCCAGTGAGGCACCCATTGCAACTTTTGCTTGGGACTGGATTGGTTCTCTGGGGAGCCTGAGTTCCCTGGGCAGGTCCCCTCTGAGGCTCTGGGATCAGGAGGTGGCGATGCACCCTCCTCTCCTCCCTCCTCCCACCCAGGGTGCGTGGGGCTGAGTAGGGCTGGCTGGCTGGCTGTAGCTGGAAGAGTGTGGGGAGGGATGGAGGAAGGGAGGGAGGCTACCGGTGATTTTCTGGGGGATTGAGGGTTTCCCAGGTTGCTTGCGTGTATAACGGGGCCTGCCTTTTGTTGCAGATGGAAGAAAAGAGGCGAAAATACTCCATCAGCAGCGACAACTCTGACACCACTGACAGTAAGGCCTTCCTTTTGGGGCTCCTCCAGGGAAAGCATGTGAATAATTACCAGGCCCACAGATGGGGAGCGGCTGCCCGTGGTTTCGATGCTGGGGAAGGCAGAAGTGAGAGCAGGTCCCTCTGCTCCTAAGAAAGTCCCCACGCTAAGGCCTCGCTGTTCTCTTCACTCTACCCTCCTCCCCCATCCCTTTACCCTCAGGTCTCAGTCCCACCTGCTCTGCTCTGTTTGGAGCAGGTCTGCTTCCCTCTGGGCCTTTGGATATGTAACTCCTGGCTACTAGGAGTACATCCCTCTCCCTGTGGCTCTCCTGTGGAGTCAGGGCACTGTAGGAGGTCTCTACACAACCCAGAGAAAATCTGTCACTGCAGTAATTACCTGATAGGTATTATTTCCTAACCGCTGGCAAGCTCCCTAAGAGAGATCATGTCTTACTCAGTGACTTATCCCCAGCTAGTTAGGTGCTCACTAAATGTTTGCTGAAGAAATGAATGAAGCAGTCTGACCTTCATGGGATCTCAGAGGTAGACTAGTGTATGGCCTGGGGGGTGTCGTTTGGATGTCTGGGGATATGGAGGGGATGTTGTCAAGGAGAAGACAGAGCTCAGGGAGCCTCTTCTGAAATTTGGGGGCGTGTGTGTAAGGTGAGAGCTTTTCTCTAGTAGTAGAAAGCAGCTCTTCCTAGCTGCCCAGGAGTCTGGGCCTGCATGAGCTGGTTGAAGTCAGGAGCTGCATTCTGCCATGTAGGAAAGACACTGCCAAACGGCTCCCACTCAGTGGAGTGACTGGTGGAAGCCCAGGCTGAGAAAGAGGCTGCATTGCCAAGGAGGCTGGGCCTGGAGCCCTGCAACTCAAGACCTCCGTTTGTTCACATGGGTGGTGAGCCCCCTGAGATTAAGGAGATCTCCAAGGCCCCTGAGACCTCCCAAAGTTTCATACCTTCCTCCTGATCCTGGAAAGGCTGCTTCTCTCACTCAGATCCTCAGAAACATCTTTGCAACAACCTACACCCCTGCCTTCCAGATGCAACCCCATGGCGGGTCTGGTCCCAGTCCCATCCCCCGCTCCAGGTCCCATTCCCTGTCCTTTGGGGGTCTGTGGGTTCATCGGGCCTCTGGTGTCTAACGTGGCCAGCCCCTTCCTCCCTGTGGCAGGAGATCACAGCGTCTGGCCTTCTGCGGCTGCAACCACGCTGCCGGTGGCCTGGCTCCGTAGAGCCAAGGAGGACCACATCCTCTACGTCTAACTTTATTGCATGCAAAGGAGCCTGTGCGGGCAGAGCACCTGCAAGGGGTGGGCTTCTGGGCAGCTTAGCCCTGCAGCTGCCTGGGAGTTGGGCCAGGCTGATGCATTATCCTTTCCCAGCAGCTCCTTGGACCCATGGGGATAGAAGCCACAGCCCTGTAGTCCAGCAACAGCCTTAGACCCTCATAATAATAGCTAATGCTTATTGAGAAGACTACAGGCATGATATAATCTAATTCTCACATCAACCCTTTGAAGACAGTCTCTTGCCCCCACTTTATAGAAGAGCAAACTGAGGCTCAGAGAAACTTAGTTATTTGCCCAGGGTGACAAGCCAGTAAGTGGCTGAGCCAGGGCTCAAGCCCGGTCTGTGGGTCTACTTTAGAGCAGCGTCATTCCCACTGCTCTGCCCAGCCTCTTGTCTACCCAGGGCATCCCACCAAGGAGGAAGCAGAGGACAAGAGAGGGCAAGGGGCTTGTCGCGGGTCACATAGTAAGCTCACACTGAGTCCTGGTCACTGCCTTTTGTTTCCCAAGCCCCTTCGGGGTGGTGGGTGGAAGGGGTTTCGTGTCGTCGTTCATCATTGGAGAGGCCCAGGGCAGGGACAGTCTACCCGGAATCCACAGAGGTGTCCACCTCCTGGACCTTCAGGCTGGAGCTTCCCTTCGATCCCTGGGTGTGGGTGGGTGGTGTTCCCAGCCTCCCAGGGCCCCTCACGGGCTGTGTTCTCTCTGCAGGCCACACTACATCTGCCTCAAGATGCTCCAAACTGCCCAGCAGCACCAAGCCGGGCTGGCCCCGGCAGAACGAAAAGAAGCCCTCAGAGGTGAGTAGCGGCCAATGTCCTAAAGAAAGGGGAAGAGAAGATGGGAGGTCACAGGGCAGAGGCCTCGGGGAGTGATGTGTGGAAGAAGAGCACTCCTGGCAGAGGGCACAGCCATGGCCACGCTGGGCCAGTGTGGCTGAGTGAAAGGAAGGCAGGGGTGTAGGTTGTTGCAAAGAGTTTTCTGAGGATCTGAGTGAGAGAAGCAGCCTTTCCAGGATCATAAGCGAGGTCATGGCCGTCTGATGTTTTAATGAGAGGTCCCACTGGCTGCCGGGAGAAGAAGGGCATGCCGGGACACAGGTGGGACCAGGAAGGATTCTGATTCTTTTGCAACTGACCAGGAGATAAATGATGGCGGCGTAGAGCCTGGGGTTGGCAGTGAAGTTAGAAGTGGTGGTGTTCAGGACACTCTGGAGGCTGAGCAAGGGTGACAGGATTGCTGGTGGAGGGGTGGAGGATGGGTCCCCAGTCATCAGTTAAATCATCTGCTCCTTCTTATGCACAGTTCACAGTGCCTGCATTTTAAGCCCTCTTTGTTTGGCCTGGGATTTTTTGTGGTAGGTAGAGGTATTTGGCTTCTGGAGCTGTGAAGAAGAGCATGGGGGTGAAGGGGGGGAGGGGGCAGGGGCATGGGGGAAAAGAGGTCTTCAAAGCAGAAAAGGCCCCAGCACAGATGAGGCTGCAAGAGGGCTGAGAGGTAGAGGGTCTGTGGAAGGGTTGAACAGGGCCCTCCAGAGAGGCATTGCTCTGCAGCCTTCAGAGTAGCTGCCACTTTAGAGTGATGGACACTTTAGTTTTTTAATCCTTCAAAGTAGCCCAGAGCCCAGCCATGTGGCTCAGTGTTAAATGTCGAGCCAAGAACCAGGAAGTCATGATGTGATTCCTGGTCAGGAGTTCCATTTCTGGTCAGGGCACATGCCTGGGTTGCAGGCTTGATCCCCAGTGGGGGGCATGCAGGAGGCAGCTGATAAATGATGCCTCTCATCGTTGATGTTTCTGTCTTTCTCCTCCCTTCCTCTGAAATCAATTAAAAATAATATATTTTTTAAAGTTAAAAAAAAATTTTTTTAAAGTAGTCCAGAGTTCTCAGTCCTGTGATAAGGAAACTGAAGTTCCCAAAGTTATATAGCCAAGACCTGAAGTTTTGGGGCCTAACAGTGCCCAGGGTAGGAAGGCCCAGAGTTCCGGGGCTGAGCCCTTGGCTTGGGGTTGGGGACAGTATCTGTGTACTGAGCCTGGGGCCCTCCTCTCCCCTTTCACCACCGGAGCCATCTTGGGGGGTCTTAGCCAGCCCCTAGGGGGGTCTTCCACAGAACTTGCATTTGAAAAAGGACTCCCGCCTCCTCCTGGAGCTGGCTGACCCTAACACCTCCCCCCCTTTGTGGGGAATGGGGAGCCTTTGAGACCTGATGCCTCCCACCCCCACCCCCAACCGATTGTCCTCCCATCATTTATTGGCCCCGTGGAGGAGGGGAGAGACCTTCCAGAATGCAGTTAGGGCTGGACCCAGCCTGCCTGGGAAGATTCTGTTCTTGAGGCTGTTAGTGCCCTCCTGGACTAGCCCTGCTCAGTGGGTGCACCGGGAAGTGGGAGGCAGAGTGCTAAAGCCCTGGAACCCGAGGCGGGGGGAACCACTCCTCAATTCCACTGCCCCCTCTCCCTTCCCACCCCACCTTGACACCTGCAGGGGCTCCCCAATTGTGACTGAATTAGTAAAACATTAGTCACCTTCACACATCTTGCGGGTCCTGGGAGACAGCAATTGCCAAGCCCCTTTTGGAGCAGAGTTGCCTGCTGCTTTGGAGAAAGGCGGGGAAGCTCAGGGGAGCTTCTAGGGCTGGCGGCGCCCTCCTCTTCCTCCTCCCTCCCCCCAGCACCTGTAGGAGGAGGGAACGGCTCTCAGGGCAGAGATCCCAAGGCCGGGGCTGCCATCGACACCCAGGATAGGCTGGTGGCTGGGAGGAAACAGGTGTCCACGAAGGCCGAGGAGAAAATGATTTGCATAGTGCTGAAAATTCCCCTGCTTCTTGGGTTTTCCAGCTCAGAGCATTTGAATCTCCTCCCTGCCCCCCCCCCAAAAAAAATATAGTCAAGTCATTGTAAGGGTGTTGGTACCCTGCCCTGATGGGGACTGGCTGCACGTGGCCCTGGGTTCGAGCACAGGAGCCTCCCAGAGGGCTGCGCAGCCTGAGGGAGACGCCCGACCTCAGGTCCTGGGCTCCTGGAGAGCGGAGGAAGTCTTCCCCGCCTTGAACTATGGCCAAGGACAGCCTTCCCTCCCGCAGCCGGCTGGAGAGCAGCCTGTGAGCAGACCCTCGTCCCCTAAGTGGGGAGGCTGAGCCGAAGCCACCATAAATTCCAAGCTATCTTGGGGTAGAAAGGAAACCGTCAATGAAAGCTTCCAAATTATTTGGCTCATGAGAAGGCGGAGATGAAAGCGAGGATTTGGCGGTACAGAACATTTGCACTAAATCTCGCTGGGTTGTTGCCTTCTCTTTCTGTGAATGGTGTGGAGAGGAGGGCCCTTCTGCCGGGCCTGGGGGCCCAGGGCTTTGGACCCCCTGATGAGAGGGGATCTGGGAGTCCCGTCTGCCCAGCCCCCCAGAGTAAGAAGCCTAGGGGGTGGTTGTCAGGCTGGTCACAGGGTCTGCTCCCAGTCTGGCCCAAGTTCCCAGCCAGAATGTTTGCAAGCTGATGTGTGTGGTGCAGGAGCCCCCTCGCTGGGGGCTCTGTGGCTCACTTCCTCGCTTCATCTCTGAATGTGGACAGTATTGGGCTGGGGTTTTTGAGGACCACAAATCCTTATCCCCAGCAGCACCACTAGTCCATGGTGAAGCCAACAGCTGTGGGAAGGACTGGAATTGGGTTTAGGGAACTGAGGGGCTGCCGCTCTGATGACCTGCCAAGGCCCACCCTTCCCAGTGCGCCCTGAGGGTGCAAATCAAGGGATGCCCTCTACACCAGTGTGAGGTGCCCCAGGCGGAAAAAGTGCTCCCGTCAGGAGTCAGGACCCTGGACAGAGCCAAGGCCTTGAGGCCCAGATTCTCATCCACCCTTAACCAGCAGGTGGTCTTCCTCAGCCAGAGTGAAAGGGGGGTGCAGGCCTGGGTCTTGGGGTGGCCCCAGATTTCGCTTTGGCAGTGGAGGGAAAAGTAGGCTTTCCTCTGCTCTGCCTGCCTGCAGTACCCCAACAAAGCTGAGGTCTAACGCTTGGGGCCTACGTCAGCCAGGCCAGTCCTGAGGGAGGAGGAGGGGTTAGGGGAGGTGGCATTAGTGCATAAATCTTGCTCAGGCCTTGAGTTTCTGGCGGACCTGTCTTACCAAAAGGCGTCATCATTGTTGATGCTTAACTCTTTGTGGGTCAATATCTCTGTGAATCTGATGGAGATCAGAGACCACTGCCCATCCTACCTCACCCCCAGGAAATGTGACTTAAATGGTCTGGAGTGGGGCCTCAGGGTCCCTGTACTTTCTCAAAGCCTGCCCCCGCCCCCTGGAAGCCAGGGTTAAACACTACTGTCATCGCCCTTTCTCCCTAATATGCTAAGACAGGAGTTCCTGGCTTGGGCCTCCCTGGAAGATCCTGAGGTTGCAGAGGGGACTGGGACCTAAGAAAAGGCAGCGGGAGGGGGTGGGGCCGTCACCCAGCTCACCCCCGTCCCCACAGCAGCAGCCAGGGGCCTGGCAGGTTTTTGCTAAGCCCTCTGTCCCGGCAGGGCAGTGTCTTCCTCCGCTGGGCAGAGAGGCAGATGGGAGGGCAGGCCACCTGGTGGGGATTCCCCCAGTCAAGCTGTCGTGAAGTCGAAAGCTGTGTTTTTAGGAAGTCAGAGTCTCCAGAACCCAGCCAGTGGGCAGGGACACTGATTAAACTCAGCCAGCACCTAATAGACCCTGCCCGTTGCTAGGGGGACCAAAGATGCGGGCTCTGTCCCCGGGGACCATGTCCTCTGGCTGTCAGCAGGATGCAGGTGCTGCACAGGAAAGTGTCCGTTACGAGAGGTGCAGCCAGCTTTGCCCCCGAGGAGCTCGGTCTCCATGGGCAAATGACTGCTTCTCTCTGAGCCTCAGACCCTGCCATGGAGGTTCTGTTCTGTGGGTGTGACTTCCTTACCTGAGGCCTGTGGAGCCTGGAAGTGGAGTGATCCCAGAGTGAGGGGAGGTGAGCCTGGCCTCCCCGGGACAGAAGCCTGGATGGTCCCAGCATAGGGTGGGTGGGAGTTGGGATTCAACCATCAGTTCCTTGGTGGGCTCTGGCGGCAAACTGGTATATCTCCTCAGGAGGGAATGGGGCCTGTTTACAGCTCCACAGAGGCCCTTCGCCAGTGCTCAGCCTCTTGCCCCTGGGGACAGGGCCTAGGAGAAAGAGGTGACCCTTATGGACAGCTTCTCCCCCCATTAGGGTGTCCTCAAGTCCCAGTGTTGGTGAGAATTCAACAAGTGAAGAGAAAGGAGGCAGTTCATTGGTTTGACCCATTGCTTTTAAAAACGAGACCCTCTACCTCGGGTGAAGGCGGGGGTGGCCAGATTGTGTCGGGGTGCAAAACCACAGGATCAGTACGGCGCCTTCCTAGAGGAGCAGAGGTGCTACCCAGATGTTTGACGTAATCTATTTTTAACTACCTTTAAAAATTCATTTTAGAGTGAGAGATAGAAACTTCAATGAGAGAGAGACACTGATTAGCTCTCTTCTGCATACTCCCTATTGGGGATCAAGCCCACAACCTGGGCCATGTGCCTGACTAGGAATTGAACTGTGGCTTCCCTTGTTCATGGATTGATGCTTAACCACTGAGCCACACTGGCTGGACAACACAATCTATTTTCTATTTTAAAAAATGGTGACATACATTGTAGTAACATATCCACAGACCTGAGAGGTAAAGCAGGAGAATCCTAAAAAGAGTTTTTGAGTTTGCCCCAGTGGCTTCGAGCCCTGATTCTAGCCAGCAGTTCCTCTGCTGTCCGGGAGCAGGCGGTGAGCGAGAGGAGAGCCCTTCCCG